TGAGAGCGATTGGAACAGCAAGGAAAAGAATGAAAACCCTGTTAAAACACCCTATTAGGCTCTTACGAGCTAATCATACTCCGAAATTATGAGAATATTACCATCAACTAATCGCATTTACAAGTCAAAAAGCACCATCACAATGGCGTTCTATCATAACATAACAACTGCTAAAAATACTAATTTCCCGATCCTCTCTATTACTCCCTGACGCTTCCAAATTACCCGAAATGGGTAATTTCACCCCTAGGAGAATCACTGCTTTAAAGTGATAAATTAAGGATGTGGATAACACAAACGCAGCTCCGTTGCATTTGGCTGCTGGAAAAGGATACACCGATGTGGTCAGGTTGTTAATTATGATCGGAGCAAATGGTGAGCAAAGAGACTCGAGAGGAAGGTCAGTTTTCAAAGTAAACTTAGAACAATCGAAGAACCTCACATGTGCCATCCTGGTGATTCGATTAGTTCAATCAGATTTGTTGTATCCAAAAGAGATGGATTTACTTATTGAATCACCAGTTTTTTGATGGTATCTTATGCGAGATACAGTACTGGCAAGAAGGTCAATGCGATGCCTAGAGAAAACTGACGAAGAAATTGAGAGTAAATGTTTGCGAAACTGGAAAACTGGATTAATTTCCAGGACACCGATCTTTTACGCATGCCTAGGCGGTCAAGCACATACACTCAAAGTGATGATCGCAGAGTTGAACTGCAGAGCTGGCCATACGGATCAGCTCGGTCGAACCGCACTGCATTGCGCCGCATTCGGAGGCTTCACAGCATGTGTCGAGGTGCTTCTCGACGAGTCGGTGTGTTACACTTCGAAACATTCTGTGATCAGATATATCAGTGATTTATGACATTTGGAATGAATTCTTAGTGACAGCCCTTGCGAAAACCCTTCGCAATTATTTGAATTGAAAACCGAAATAAAGTTTCTGAAACTAAAAATTTGATCCACGAGAGCATTTCCGTGAGAAAATGAGTTAATTCCGAAATTTGAATACCCCAAATCCAGTTTGAAAATGGCTTCTTCCCATGGATCCTTCTTCAAGTTCAATGTAGCAAATGCTACTACTTTTTACTTAATCATTATTGCATGCACAAAAAACTCCACTTCTAATAACCAGTTCTCCACAATTGTAGGATTGTCCAATCTATAAGGAGGATGTT